AGGAACTGTAGAGCCTTTCATTAAAGAAACCTGATCAGACACAGGATTGACAGGTCCTTTTACCACTCTTTAGAGACTGTTCTTCATATATTTTAGTCATTCAGATGTGTATATTTATTCCTAGTGTGGAGGAGCTCCAGCTCGACTTTGTAGAGATGCTACATGCCCGTGATGAAAAGCGGAGGATGAGGCACATGGAGGCACTGAGACGACAGAAGGAAGAAGGGGAAAATGAAGCAGAGGGTAGCATAGGAGGAGGAGGAGCCAGGGTGGAGCTACTGGGCGACTTGGATGAGGAGCAAGGCAGTGTGTTGCCCTTTGTGAAAGCCACATCTGAACCACAACCACCAACAACAGCCTCTTACAGTCACAGCAGCAGCAGCTCCAGCACCAACAATATAAACAAACAAGTAAGACTAGAGTCACTTTGTTTCAGCAGAGTGAAAGAAATACTTACTCAAACAGTTTGTCTCAGACAGCAACAAGACTACAAGTCTACAGCTGTGCTCATGGCTCTGCGAGTGTGTACTTTTGCTGCCCTCGATGCAGAGATTAAAATTTTCAAGTTCCAAGCTCAAAGTGTTCCATGAGTCACCATGCTAAATGTCAGCAGTCATGGCTGACCACAAAAAACTTGTCTTATCAAAGATGTGTACGACAGGCAGCACGGGAAAATTTGCAAGATCAGCAGAGCTTTTACAATCAGTACGGAACATTTTCAGACCCGTTCACATTTTATGTTGCTGACTCATCTTAAAATGGATTCAGTTCAGTTTTTTCCTCATCAATCTACACACAATACTCCACAATGTTAAAGTGAAAACAGTTTTTTTCTGTGTTTTGTAAATTTATTAAAAATAAAAATAAAAAACCCATTTACAGGATTCAGACCCTTTACTTGGTACTTGGTTAAAGCACCTTTGGCAGCAACGACAGCCTCAAGTCTTCTTGAGAATGAAGCTACAAACGCGGCACCTTTCTTTTGGAATTGTCTTCCATTCTGCTTGGCAGAATCATTCAAGGTCAATGGGGCGTGTTGGTGCACTGGATTTTCAGATCTCTCCAGAGATGCTCTATTGGGTTCAGGTCCGGACTCAGGCTGGGCCAATTAGGAGTTTCACAGAGTTTCCTGAAGCCACTCCTGTGTTTTCTTTGTGGTTTGCTTTGGGTCATTGTCTTGTTGAAATGCAAACCTTCATTCCAGCCTGAGATCCTGAGCACTTTGGAGAATGTTTTCATTCAGAGTTGCTTTATATTTTTCTGCATCCATCCTTCCCTCTATCTTGACTAGTCTCCCAGTCCTGGATGCAGAAAAGCATCCCCACAGCGTGATGCTGCCAGCACCGTGCTTGACTGTAGGGATGCTATTACTGAGGTGATGCTCAGTGCCTGGTTGTCTCCATAAACACTGTTGGGAACTTTGATCAGATAGTTCAATCTTTGTTTCATCAGACCAGAGGATTTTGCTTCTCCTGGTTTGAGTCCTTCAGGTGACCTTTGGCAAACTCGCAGCAGGCTGTCATATGTATTTTAGTGAAGAATGGCTTCAGTCTGGCCACTCTACCTGATTGGTGGAGTGCTGTCCTTCTGTAAGGTCCTCCCATCTCCAGAAAGGAACTCTAGATGTCATTCATTTTGATCCTCGGGCTCTTGGTTACTGGTCTGACCAAGGCCCTTTGTCTCCAAATACTCAGATTGGCTGGTTCCATATCTCTTCCATTTGAGAATGACGGGGGCTACTGTGCCCTTGGACACATTCAATGCTGCATAAATGTTCTTGCATCCTTCCACAGATCTGTGTCTTGACACAATCCTGTCTCATAGGTCTGTGGACAGTTCTCTTGACCTCGTGGCTTTGTTCTCACTCTGACATACAACACCAACTGTGAGACCCTATATAGACAGGTGTGTGCCTTTCCTAATTATATCCAGTGCATTAAATTAGGCACAGGTGGACTATATTTATGTAAATGGGATATTTGAGTCTTTTATTTTTAATGAAGTCACAAAACACTCCAAAACCTGTTTTCATTATATCATTGTGGAGTATTGTGTGTAGATTGATGAGAAAAAAGTTTAATTGAATCTACAGGTATGAATACTTTCTGTGCTGACTGTATACATCAACAAACCAGAGGAGACTAGACAATGGATAAAGGAGGAGGCTGCACATAGAGTATTTTACTTCAATTCCGTCCGAGTTTATACACGGTAATAAATCCAAATTTAATTTACTAACATAGTCCGAGTAGACATTTTTAGAGTTTTATTCATTTAACACCATTTGAAGCCAGTTTTTATGGACACCACTGCTGTATATTGAGTGATATCAGAGTATCTGCTTCACAGTAAAGTCAGGATCCATGAAACTGGTCAAAGTTTCCCAGTCAGAATTCCAACCTCGAGGCCTGAAATATCCAGTGTGCATTGAAAGCAGCAAATGGCACAGGCTGCTAAATGCTAATATTGGCACACTAAATTTAGTGTGTACACAGTGAAAATACTTACATGCTGATGTTAAGCAGGTATATTGTTTGCCATCGTCTTCATTTTATGTAGCATGTTAGTGAACATTTACTAACTAACACAGAACACAAATTAAAAGTGAGGCTGATTGATACCCTACAGTGAATGTTAGTGCCAGATTCTGTGCCAATAGTAAATGTTCAGATATTTCAAAATGTTGACCTGCTGGTGGCACAACAAGAGTAACATGAATGTCTGTACAAAATGTCATGACAGTCCATAGTTATTTAATGATGTCCTTTAGTTTGGACCAAAGCAGTGGCCTGACCAACCAACAGACTGATATCATCATCTCTAGAGATGCACTAGCATGGCCTAAAAATAAAGTCTGAACTATATTCATTGAGAGACGAATCCTTTGACAAGACATATGGAGAAACACTTGCCAACTCTCACCCAAGCTATTAATGCTTCACTGGGTTATAACAGAGTGCTACCAATTGTGCCACCCTGCAGTGTGGTTAGTCACAGTTAACTGTTACCCCATACAGAGGCAGTCATGTTAATCATTTTCTATATTTTACAACAACAACTCACCAAATGTTTTCCCATCATAGAAGGATATTACTGTTATTTGTTTTGCACAAGTAGAAAGACTCTGTGTGTAGTATTTACAGTAGGTGATTAAAGACAGACATAAAGAGAGAGTATTGATGCTCACACACAGGCACTTGCTTTTCGTATATGCTAGTTATAAACAACTTTGGTGTATTTTCTTTGCAAGTGCTAGCACTAGAATACACTGTATGAGGAAATAGAGGAAAATACTATTTGTATGTAGCTTGTCCTCTTACAGTACCTGCAGTCTTCCAGTGAAGTAGTTATGTAAATTGCCTATAAAACTTAGATAACATGCACTTAGGGTCAGAACTTGAACTGTAGCTTTTATGACACTTGCAGCCATTTCGAATTCAGTGTATTTGCAAATACTGTACAGTGCTACATAATGTAAGGTGTGTCTCATCTGATTATGGTTGTGCTGATTATCTCTCTGGTTTGTTTCTTTGTTAGCATGAAAACAGAGAGTTGCCGAGCAAAGACCCTGATCCCAGGTCGCCCTCCAACCCGGCTCGCAAGTTTGTCAGGTTAACAAGCACAATTTATGTCTGTTTTTCTTCATGTGGGTTAGTCAAATACAGTTCAGATGTTTTTATGTTAAGATAAGGATCACTGGTTCCACACAAGAAAATAAAAGTGCAGCAGCATAAAACAGTGCAGTACAGCTGTGAAACAGGAAACTAAAGCAAAATATCACCCAAGTAAAATTCATTATACTGTATGTCTTAGTTTACTGTTTAAGTAATGAACCATATGAAGACAATCATATCCACTTATAACACAGTCTTCAACACACACATTTGTTTAAGTATACACTAAACCTAGCAAATTAACACACCTTTGATACAATGCAATCTCACATAAACCTGTTCCTGAGATTAGCTGTTAGCTTAGATGGAGCAAATATGATCCCTAGAAGAGTTGACACTGATCACAGAGAAACAATATTTTAAAGGAGGCTGGTGAGGAGGGTGCAGTAAAGATGTGAATATTCTGCAGCTTTACTGTGAGCTGGTCCTGGATCACTGAGTGCTTTCTCATTCACATCTTCGACTGACCTTTCAGTCCACTTGTGTTTCTGCTGTTGCAGTTCTGTTTCCATCTCACTTGACAAGAGTCCCACTGTCAGTGGGAGCACAACTCCCATGAGCCCTTGCTCTCCGACGGCCCCCTTGTCACCTCGAGAAAACTGGTCCTCGCCCTATGAAAATCCCTCACCCACGGGGGCTCAAAGTCCTGTTCATAGCGGACCCAGACAGAGGGTACTTTAACACAGACACACACATACAGATACTTTGATAGGTGACATAATTTATAACAACTATCTGCGCTTCATGTTTTGCTTGTCAAATGGCTGCAAAGTGCTGATGCCATCTCTCATTAATTCAATAAAGCAACAGCACCCTCTCATGTTGAAAGAGTGAACGTCACACACTTTGTGCCAAAGAAATTGCCATAGTTGCACCTGCAGCTGTGTGACAAAGCAAACGGTTTTGAAGGGCAGAATCGTTTCTTACTGCAGCTGATTTCTATTGGACTAAAATGCAGAGAAGCAGAAAATTATGTTATTTACTTTACCTCAGACTAGGGAGAATGGCTCTTCCTCCAGCTGCACCTTTGAACAGACGGCCAAGCCTGCCTTTGTCAGACAGAGCTCCAGGACTCTATCTTTTAGGGTAAACACATCAACCCAACCCATACACTCAAACATGCATGCACACATCTTCCCAAGCAAATGCCAATGTTAACATTTGCCTATTTGACTGTTAAAATATCATGTGATTGTGCATCAGACTATCAGTTCAGCATAATTTGCTTGTGTGACTCAAGCTTTGGGCATATGCTGATAGTTGAAGCAATATTTACCAGCTGTCAGTAGTGACTTATTGCTTTGTTAACACCCTCACATGTCACAAGAGTAGACTGTGCTGCTGCTGACAGTTGGACCACTGTGAGGTCTGCTAACACGCACTTGTCCTGCTCTTGGTCTTTGACAGATGATCAAGAAGAAAGAAGAGGAGAGTTCACCGCTGCAGAGGAGGCAAGGAAACATCCCTGTCTTTACTGTGAGTCACTTTGTATCTGTCCACCTTTCTGTAACGTAAATTCAAACCGGTTTTTTTTCTTCAGTGCGAGTGTGAGAATGACCACTAAGACGTCTGGATCCAACACGGTAATGTGATATTTTCTTTAACTAAAATGTATGTTGTTTGTGTTAAAATTGTACATAGATGATTTACATTGGGTCTAATGTTAAGCACCCTTGGGTTTTGGATTAGGACCAAAATGAAGATGAAGACAATACATCACCTTTTCTGAGAAAGTGAGTTGATTTCTTGTAGGTTGTAATTTTTAATTATTGTAAATGTGTTGTAATAATTGTAATTTTTGTCACAATAAGTGAAAGCAGCATGTGCATTATCCAGCTCTAGGCAGAGGATTTCATCCAGATCCATCCAGGAGAAGATGGAGAGACTGGCTCAGGCTGCACAGGTCAGACTCTTGGCCCATCAAACATAACTCATCTCTATAATGCTGCAAAATAACAATTGCATTCATACTCAAGTCTACATCAACTGTCATTATTGCTGAAGGTGTTTCCTATATATGTGTAGAAGTCCGAAATAATACGATCTCCAGATGTGGCCCAGAGGACCTTGTTCTTGCTGGACGAGGTGTCCAGGAAGCGAGGCATCTTTGAGAAGGAGCAGCAGGCAGTGACTCCTACCAGCCCGGGAATTTCCAGACAGGTAAACCTAATACTCACAATCCACTTTGATGTGCCACATGCCACTGACCATGTTTGTTAAATACATAATATTTCATTAAGATGTTGTAAGTAATGACAATTGAACACTATAGATATACTAGTCAAAGATAAAACAAAGATTAATAATTATTAATAATGTACACACCAGATATTACTAAAACATATATGCATATACTGTGCATACTAGTTCTGGAATAAAACTACAATGATCTGGCGACTGAGGCTTAGGGGGATGCTGAGCAGCCTAAGCTTTAAGTGCCTACAACATGTAATATTACAGCTAATACATTTATATCATTAGCATGTGTGGGTCCTAAGTACTATTACAGCTAATACATTTATATCATTAGCATGTGTGGGTCCTAATCAGATCACATCTGGTGCTACCAGGAATTTAGGAGCTTCACATCAGGAATGTCAGACCGGATCAACCGCTGGATCAACAAGACCAACCAAACTGGGTCTTCCCACAATCCTACTGTAAGGTCACCCATTAACCAGGCTATTTGCATTGTTACATGCCTGCCGAAAGTGCGTCATGTAGGAAGTTATTCAAATGTAGCGTCTAACAGCTAGAGGGCAGTAGTACTCTTTCATCAACACAGCAGGATGTTTTGTTTTGTTCCTGTTGCTAACATTCGATTCATTCTGGATTTTAGAGTCAGGTATTTGTGGTTAAGTGATTAAGTTGTTCTCACTAACTGTGTTCAGAGATGGAGGAGAGCAAGCCCTGACCAAACCGGTTCAGATTAGAGCAATTTTTACAACAGGTTTTCTCATACAGTTCCATTTCAGAGGAAAGCTTTTTATAATTACACTAACATAATTTTTATTTGTTCTGTTCTGTAGTGGTCAAATCTGATGTTTAACTTAACTTAAACCTAGTTCTAAAGTTAAATCATATGTTCAAAAAAGTCTCTATAACAAATGCAGGTTGCTGGTAGTTGACCAGTATCTATAGCTACAATCATCTCAGTTTCCTCTGAGCAGAAACAGGATTGTTTTGTCTTTAAAGAGAAATGAATCTGACGCATATCAGACCACATAACCACATTTAGTTTTTTTCTGCCTGCTTTACTGCTGTGTTAAGGGGGAATTGCATTTTAGAAATAAGTGTGATCATGTTTCTATTGTCCGTTTATAGGAGCTGAGACATGTGGACATCAGTGGTAAAAGAAGCCTGTTTGAGAACAAAGGGAAGGCCAGTGCCTCAAAAGCCAGTGCTGGAAAAACCTTCAAGTAGAGGATGTCTATTTATAATGTCCAGCTGGTAAGCTTAAACTGTCCCACACTGCATGTAGTAGCATACAGTAAAACCCGTGGAAACAGCAGCCAGTAGCTAAATGAAGCAGATAACATTAACATTACTTTACATTTAAATGCGAAATAAAACTGTATTTGTTTAGAAGTAATTTCTTTCCTTTGTTTTTAGGACTAAGAACACAGTGAGATGAAGAGAACTGGAAGATTAATGGATGCTATGACTGACTGACTATTTCTTCAAGTTTGTTTTTTTTCTTCACTGCTAAAGCACACAGGAACCGACAGGAGAAACAGAGAAGAAGGAGATTTGACTTGTAGCTTTAGAGAACTGAAAAGGAGGATTCTGCTTTTAAAGTTAGGAGGCTTCAATCATATACTTTTGCATCAATTTGTGAAGTGTGACCTTTTTCAAACATTTAAACACGAGGATAATGTTTTGACACTGTTTATGAGGAAAAAAATAAAAGCAAAATACACATGGGAAAGTAATAAAAATGTGTTTTACTTAAATGTAATTTTCAAGCACTTTAAACAGGTGATGGTCTTAAGGCTAATGATATGTTTATTGAATTACAAGGGTTGGAAGTCTGGAGTTGTAATTGTACTTTTTTTTTGTCTAATCTGCCAAAACACAATGCTTGTTTTGTGAGTCTTTGTGGGCAAGATGCTGCCTGTCTGAGGAATAAAATGTTTTACTACATGTCTGCCATGAATTCACTGTAACTGCTCTGTCACAACAAAAGCAGTGTTAAATGTCTACATACATTGCTTATCTCAGAGGAGGGAGGATGTAGATAAGAGTTGTATGTCTGTGTTTTGTCAGTGGTAATGTGGTATACAAGGGTGAGAGAATGTGTTCTTCTACTTGCTATGTAGTGAGGACCAAACTGTATTTTTTGCTACAGAATGAGGACACTTGTGCAAAGTGAGGACATTTTGGCTGGTTAAGTGTTAGGGTAAGGGGCTAGGGAATGCATTATGTCAATGAGTGTCCTTAGAGGCACTAGTGTGTGTGTGTGTGCATGCACATGCATGCCTCAGCTTGGCTTTGTGTGTGCATGAATCACTGTGAGCAACTGTGGCTTTATCTGGATCTTTTTGGCACTGCAACCCACAGTTGTGCACACAGCTGCCATTTTTGGGAATGGTGATAATGGTGACTACATGCTATCTAAAAAGTTATTAATAACTTAAGCAGGGGGTCCTAAAGCCATTTCCTCACCAGGCATTCCATTCATTTGCCCTCTGAGACTCAACTCAGGTTTGTGTTAGAGAAAATAAGGACTTCAGCTCTGTCACTCCATCTGATCCTCAGGTATGTTCCACTAACTGAGTGTACACTAGACTATATGCATTTAAACGAGGATGTTGTAACTGAAGTGATGAAGGTGAACTTATCGAGTATTGTTTAATGTTCAGATTCACTGCTGCACACCTGAACATTCACTGCCATGTCAGACACCGAGGAGGTGGTGGAGGAGTATGAGGAGTAGGTTGAAGCAAGTTTTTATTTTCATGAATAATACAAAGATTTCAGCTGTCTGCCTATAAATGCTAAAATAATGTCTTGTGTACAAATACTGGACCTGCTGGTAGAGTTTCTACAGTAGTTTCTTACTTCTGTTATAATGACAGTTGTATGTTACTGTAATATTATAAATTGCTATGTATTTGGATCAGAACAATAATGCACATATGTGTTTGAATTTCACAGGGAGGTGGAAGGTAAGAGCTGTCATCATGACTCACCATGTGCAGTGCTGAAAGACACAACTAACTGTTAAAGCAATAGCCATGTTGTTAAGACTTGTCCTCCCTAAGTAATCTAGAGAGCTTAATACAGTAAACCATTATTATTAGGTGCATGCTGTATTTGATGGCTTTTGTGGTTAAGTGATGCCTTTCTTTAATTCCTTGTGATTTGTTGTAGCATTAATGCCATTTTAGCAAAAGCAGCTGTGTGTAAAACATACAGTACTATAAATCACAGTTTACATTTCTCCTTAAGTGATTCTATTTGTAAATTCCTTTTCTATGCACTGTACTTCCCTGCTGCTTGACACAGAAGAAGAAGCTGAAGGTATGGGCTTTGTGAGCTTGCAGTGGTAACGTACAGCTTTAGCTCTGACATTTAGAAGTGAAGCTCTCGGTCGTCAATGAAGGATTTTTGTCATGGATCACTTACATTTACCAGAGCAACAGGTGGAGTCATGAGCAATGTTTTTCCAGACAGTCAAGGCATTTGTGGTTAGAATAAGATAACTGTAGCTGACATTCTCAAGTTATTACTATACTTTTGACTTAGTCATGCTTGATCATACCATGCACTAAAAGAAATGTTTACTGTTTTTTAAATCTTTGTGTGCCTGGGTGCTGCTGGCTGACTGTACTTACAAGTCTGTTCTGGACAGCAGGGGAGCAGAGAATAGAGGAAGACGAGGAGCAGGAGGATGCAGAGGAAGGTACTGCGTGGGCTCTATGCTGAATCTATTGTTTTAGATATTCCATGGAGAGCAAAGGTCAGGCTGACTTTGTGAACATGGAACAGCTGAGTAACAAGAGCTGATTTTTTTCAGCCATTCAGTCCCAAACAATTCTGTGTGATGAAAACCATTTGTATACTAACAGGGCATTAAAATTATGTTACAAAACTTAATTTGAAGTATGAAATGAGGTGCTCCACTAGACCATATTAGCATTATTGAAAAATATTTAAAAATACCATTAACATTTGCTTAGTAATGTCACACCTAAGAGACAGGTATATGTAGACAGAGAAAATAACTTATTGGTCAATAAAATATAAATCAAACTAAAATAATATAAATATATACTAAAACTAAATAATGAATTAATAAATAGAGAAATTAATTTCTATAATTCCTTGTATTTATGTATATGGATTTCTTATTTTCCTAATTTGTTTCTGTATGCAAGCCTTTCTTTATATTTATATATTTCTTTGTCTGTATGTTAATGGAATAGGTGGTACTAAATTTCACTCTAAAGCAGGATTGGTCCCCAGGGCAAACCAGGCACAAACAATATATCTGAGCACAAACAATACATTTGAACTGAGCACACTCATCTTCCAAAAAGTAAAAATTTAAAAAATACAATTGAAACTGACCTTCAGATTTTCTGGGCGGGTATGTTGTCAGATGTGTGGTCAGGGACATGGCATTAACTTGAACGGAACAGATGAGCAAAGCCATAAATCAAGCATAGTCAGCCTAAAACAGATAAATCCGGTGAAACAAATCTCCATGTTTACACAGTGGCTACATAATCATTATCAATAAGGAACAACTTACATGTATTATGTTAAAATATGTAACAGTTTCTATAACCTAACTAAGTAGCAGCAGTAGAAACGAGTTGATAAATGCTGCATTTCTGAAACTACACAAGTTCTAAACAAATCACTATTGTATGTTCATATTAAGAAAGCATATAATTACTAATAGAAAATGTTAAGCCCTTATATTAGTTTCACCCTCAACGAACAGCTTCTGTTGTTTCTTCAACTGCAGAAACTGAGCAACTCAAAGTTCACTTCTCCTCCTCACTGACCACCTGCAGGTTTCACAGAGCTACTGTACGTCAGTGAGCTACAGGTGTTACAGCTATTGGTTGCTGATAGGCAGTTACTAAGACTGACAGGAGCCTGTATGTGTGCATATCAGGAAATTATTTCTGTATTTATTTTAACATTGATTTAAATAGGTATTCTTTTAGCATTTATGAATTCATTCCAGCATTTATTCCGTTAATTTTTTTGTCCACTGTAGAGTGCGTCTGTCCCTGATCTGACCTGATCTCTTTTTTTTTGCTGTCAATAATGAAGACTTTTCAGAAAGTATCCCTTGCTGAGATCATATATTTGGGACATTGCCCCCTCTCTGTCTATAAAATCCCCAAATACTGCCTAAACTGCTCATGTATTTATAAATGCAATTTTATTTTTAAATGGGTACCTCATCACATGATTTGCATGATCGGAGTTGACAAAGCTATGTGTCATCACATCTCCCCGACCTGCACACAAACAGGCACCACTTCACCAGTTCTTTAGTGCTGTCTACTTTAAATACCAGAGGCGGGTAGCTCATTGTCAACTGATCACTTGCTATGCCCCTACAAGGCTTTCCAGGAAACTCTTATCTATTCTACTGTGGAACACAGAATCCATCCATCAATCAAACTGACATGAGTCAAAAACAAAAAAGCACAAGCTGGAGCTTTTGAATGAGGGAAAAAGAGGGGAAAAGCAGTCTCTCATGTCACCAAGACCTTAGAAAATGGCAAGTTACTGACAAGGACGAGTGATCGTTTGAATGAGTCACCCCCAGTGCAACTGTCTAAATTTCTCACGGTGTCATGGTTTGCTGTCAAACTTCTTTTTCTGTCAGAGCCTGTGCAGGAAGAACATGGTGCAGAGGAGGAGGCCAGTGGAGAACAAGGTGAGGGGTTGTAAAATGTAAAACACTGTTTTGAATTGAACTTGAATTTATCCCACTCATAATTACCAGAGGCAGGTGGGAAAATTATCTGCAATCACAGTCACACTATCAGACAGTCTAAACATACATGTTTTCTTTATATCTCTGACTCCATCTTAGTCATACCAGACACAACCACTTGGTCAGAGTAATCCTCAAGCCTCCCAGCCCTAAGGCTCCTGCTCATCAGTTACATTTAGGTCATTCCTGTCATACTCATTATTTAGGCATTTCTCTGTCTTTTTGTCAGTCATATGAAATGGGAGGGATATTAGTCAGAATATGAAATGGGAGGGATATTAATCAGATTCAGTGTAATTAATGTCTTTAAATCCAAAACGCCCTATGAGGCACCAGTCAACTGTCACCTGGTGTGTCACGCACACAATATGCAGGAGAAAGTGATCTGCTCAGAGCATTCATTTGATCATCGAAGTAGTTTTTAGCCAAATATATTCTAAGGGACGAGAATCTCTGGTCTACAGCCTTCACAAAGTCTGCTGGTGAGTCAGCTTGTTGGACCACCCCTTTGGTCCAGACTCAAATATCTCAACAAGTAGAGGGATTACCTTCCGACTTTTCATGTTCGTTAGACAGTGAATTCTCCTGACTTTTCCTTTAGCTCCAAGAAATATATTGACAACTACAGCATTTGATAAATTATCACTTAAATTAATTCAAGGTGCCTAGAGTATGAATTTTAATTTCCCCTGACTTTTATTCTAGTGTCAAAATGGACTGGCACAAAATTTTTGAAAAAATACCCCAGACAATGTATTCTTATACCTTTGGCTTTTCATCTAGCAGCACCACTACCCCGTCACGTCGAAGTTTTAATTTATCTAATACATTATGACTAAAATTGCTGAAAAATTACTGACATACCCTATCAACCTCAGCTGTACTTTTTCATGCTAATTAGCAAATGACATCACAGTATGCCAACACTAAACATATTAACATGAACACTGAGCATGTTGACATACCGACATCAACATTTAGCTCAGAGCACATGAATGTGTACAAGACACTAGCAGTAGACTGGTTCATTGTAAAACTGAAAGACAAATGTTAAAGTTTTAATGGTCTTTGTTTAAAATGTTTGGTTGACTGTCATTCAGAGGTCATTAATGCCATATCTTTGTTGGTGAGAGAGTGAAGACTTATGTTTCTAGACATCCTCTCCCACCTCTCCAGAGTGCTACTTTTGATGTGACCTACTGTATGCAACACACAGTGAAGCAAACACTACCAGATTTTTACACTACCAGTCTTTATCGTTGTTTCATGTACTTCAGCACTAAATCACAATAATTTACCGTTCCATAATGCACACTCATTTTACACAGTCACAAACATAAACTTACTTCTCATTTTGTTTGGATTTTAGATGGAGAAGAAGAAGCTGAAGAGGGAGAAGGTAACACTGTTACTGCATGAAAACGAATGTTAGCACACTTCACATGTTGTGAATCGATTTCTGGTGGTACTGAACCTGAATCATACCAGAATTAAGGGCAGATGAAATTTCAGTAAAACTAAATTTGTTATAATCACAACACTGAAACCACAGTCATAACATGCTAGTGTTTTCTGGTAGGATTTCTATGAAATGTTTTGGGTCTGGACTACATTAGCTCATCTCCTCTCTCTATTTTCTTCTCAGCAGAGGAGGAAGCCAAACCAAAATTCAAGTGAGCAACACTCACTGCACACACGTTTATTCTTCAGCTGTTATTTTGTGGAATCCAAAGGTTTATGGCAGGGCTAATTCTATTTACTGTACAATGTCATTAAATACAGTGAATAATGTAGACCATGAATTGATTATAACTTGACATCTACATGTTAAGACTGTCTTTATGTTACTATTGTTGCATCAGTGTTGTGATTGAATCACTAAATCTTGAGTTGAATCAACTCTCTAGTCCCGGTTGTTTCGAGTGCGAGTCAAGTCTGAGTTGAGTCCCAGTTACCCGAATCAGAGTCCTCAAGATCTACCTTAAGCGCCAGGGTCATCAAGGTCTACATTAAGCACAACTAACACAGCTTTCACTATTTTATATTCCAATCTTTCTAAAAGTCCACTGCACCGATACTGATAAAAACCATTCACTGTACAGAAAGGTGGAGTGTACGCTTTGATGGAAGGGTGCCGGATAAAGCATGGTGTGGAGACAGGTTTTAATATCAATATCTTATGCCAAATGATGATGATGGCCTATTACAAAAACAAACCACTACTTTTTTTTCTCCAGGCCATTTATCATGCCAAACCTCATCCCCCCTAAGATCCCTGATGGAGAGAAGGTGGATTTTGATGTGAGTGACACTGAAAATCAAAACAAAGCAGCACAGGCGTACCTACTGTAGCATGCTGTACATAGGCCTCAGGATTTATTATGCAATTTTAGACATTGCCATATGTTAGGCTGTGACATGTATGTTAATGCTGAAGCTGTCCTACTTAAAATACCAAGACATTGTTTACATTTTCTGACCCTTTTTGTGACAGTGAATCTCAAAAAAAGCCTCTGTTGTTTTGATGGCCCTGTTTATCCTTTAACTAACTAAGGAATCCTTTTAATGCGAGACCATTAACAAATATACCTTCAGTAATATGGAAACCAATGAAGCATAGATTTGAATCCCTGTTTCTGCAGGATATACATCGTAAAAGGATGGAGAAGGACCTGATGGAGCTTCAGACATTGATTGAGGTTCACTTTGAGAGCAGAAAGAAGGAAGAAGAGGAGCTCATTTATCTCAAGGAGAGAATTGTGGGTATCCTATAATATGGCCAGCCTCATGTAAACCTATTGACACACATGAAGTCTTAGATCTGTATCAAGCAAGACCTGTTAAAGGTGAAATAATGTGTTGTGCAGGAGAAGCGGCGTTCTGAGCGAGCAGAGCAGCAAAGAATCCGTAGTGACAGAGAGAAAGAGCGCCAAAAGCGTCTTGAGGTACAGTCATTTCCCAGGTGCTGTAATGTAATCCATACAGCTGCCTACACTGGTCTTCATTCTCTCTGGATACATGTTATTGTAGGAGGAGAAAGCTCGTAAGGAGGATGAGGAAGCCAAGAAGAGAGCAGAGGATGATGCTAAGAAGAAGAAAACTCTCACCAGCCTCCACTTTGGAGGCTACATGCAGAAGTTGGTGAGCAAGTGGAAGATTTAATCTGAAGGTTTCCAAGAGGTTAATGTAATAAAATGTGAAGGCTGTAGACCAGAACTGTAAATGATTTCCCTTTTTTCACAGACAGAGAAACGGAGTGGAAAGAGGCAAACTGAGAGAGAGAAGAAAAAGAAGATACTGAGTGAAAGACGTAAATCTCTGGACATTGAGAACCTGAGCCAGGAAAAGCTCAAGTAGGTGGAGAAATATCACAATATACCACACAAAAGGCCAAATATTTTTGTTAAGGACTTTTTTTTTAAATTATACACGTAAGGAGAAGAAAATAATCCATCAACATAGCAAAAATGACAACAACCATGCATTTTCATTTTTTCTTTGTTGCACAGGGAGAAAGCAAAGGATCTGTGGCAGTGGATTTACGAGCTGGAGGCAGAGAAGTTTGAACTGCAGTACCAGTTCACCAGACAGAAATACGAGGCGAGTGCGCTACAGTACACAACACATATTACTGAAACAAGGAACAAAAGGTCATAAACCTCATTAGAGTATGTTGCCTTTGTTCCAGATTAAAGTGCTGAGGAACCGTGTCAGTGACCATCAGAAAACGTAAGAACCTTTTCTGTCTGATGCACACACACTTCCCACACAGATGGACCACCTGCTCACACTGAGTAAACTATGTACTCAGGCAGTTTGTTAGACTTTGGAAAGCTCCCTCTGGAACCCAGTTTAACTATCCTGTCACTATAGACACTTCCAGGGCAGCACTTCTTCAGCCATACTAACAAAACTGCTGTTTCTACCTGTTTACACTGCTGACAGCTCACTTTTTTAGGTCGCTAACTCAAAAACAGAAACAGCCTCAGAGAATAAAGAAAAGAACTTCCAATTTGTTTACCAGCCTCAGGCAACACTGGTCATATAATAGCCTCTGGTTTTCACAAGTGGGATAGTACTCCCCACGATGAGTAAACTAAATTTTGCGAGTGCAACAAACTGCTTGTTCTTTGGTCTCATGTGATAACTTCCATGTTTCAACAGATCCAAGAGGACCAAGAGAGGCCTGAGGAAATAGATATGGATGCATGGATAGAACAATGTAACCATCAGTCCTGTTCTACTGCCTCAAACCAAGCCCCAGCTGCCACACCCCACTCCTGACAGTTTCCCAAATACCACCACATTACCAGTTATAACCAGTTACCCAGTTCAACCTCACTTGACTGGTTCCCCTCTTATTCTCACCCCTTGAATTAGCTGTCCTGTGTTTAAGGTGGAAATAAAACCAACTCAATTCAATCTTTCTTCTTGATCTTTCACACCTTTTAAGTGTAGGTGCGTGTGTGTGTGTGTGAGTGAGTTCAATTACTGGCATCCGAAAAGTAAAATGACCCTGTAGTACATTTAAGACAATGCAGAAAGCCTAAAGCAAAGACAGGAAGAGACGTCTTGCTTAGAGACAAGCCTCGACATGACTAGGACTAGCATGATGCTCCATGGGCTGATACCCAGACCTCCACCCAGAACACACACACACACACACACAAACACACTCATACACAAACACACGGATCTGAAAGAGCATAAATCATTTTCGTTTACCCACAATCCCAGTTGGTAATTTTTTTTTCTGAAAAAAAAAAGTCTATCAAAAACTCATCCCAAAGTGAACTTACTTGACAACATTCTTGGATTTGATCAGACATGCAGGTACAAAACTAAATACCAATGAAGTCATTGGTGTGGATCTGATGTAGCACCAAATATGCTTGTAATGAAAGAACCATTCCATTCAGCAGCAGTACGATTTATGATTTTGTGGTCGGATTTGATTAAACATATCCCACTTCATTAAAAGTGCAAAACATACTTGCTGTGGTCTAAGGTTGGAGTTGCAGTGCTTCGGCAATGTTGTGTACCATTTTTCAGCACTCAGTGGATTGATCATGAGACAATGGACGCCGACATGAAAAAGGACCTCTCGCTCCTCCAACACAGAACTGGGTATCAAAGTGTAATTGTCTGACTTCCCATCAGTATAGACCAACAGTCTCTTCATACAGAGAGTTGCCATGAAGGGCACTGGCCTGGCCACCAGGAGCAAGCTAGGGTTTAGTGTCTTGCCCAAAAATTCTTTGACATGTGGACTGCACTGCCAACCCACTGTATCCCTGAGCCATGGCCACCCTGTGTTAGCTTCCTCTTTGAAAATAGTGAAGGCGCAGAGGATTTCCTTGTTCTTGCAGTGTGGTTTTTAATCCCATGGAACCCTTGATAAGTAAGCCATCAAAAGAGTATATCTGCTGTTTTTCTCATTACTTCCTTATTACAGTGGGTATGGAAAGTATTCAGACCCCCTTAAATTTTTCACTCTTTGTTATATTGCAGCCATATGCTAAAACCAAGAAATGTAAATGAATTGTGGAATGTTGTTAAAGAATCATGGAGTGGAATAACAGCTGAAAGGTGCCACAAGTTGGTTGACTCCATGCCACACAGATGTGAAGCAGTTATAAAAAACTGTGGTCATACAACTAAATATTAGTTTAGTGATTCACAGGATTGCTAAATCCTAGAAACAAAAACGTTTGTACAAAATAGTTTTGTGTTTGTACAGTCAACGGCAGACACTGCCATTTTTTTTTAACACACCCCTTTCAACTAATTGCCCAATTGCACAGCCTTAAGAGCGTGCATATCATGAATGCTGGGTCTTGTTTGCTTTCTGAGAATCTACTGCACCTACTGGTAACTTGTTTGCCATGTAGCAATAAAAAATATACTAAAAACCTGGATTATTCTGGTTAGTCACATTGTACTGCTATTATTTTGAACAATACTGTATATGATGATTATGGTCTTCATCTTCTTTGCAGCTTCCTGTTTTTTTGAGCATAACATTTTCCTTGTCATTACTGTACAGATCTGATTGAAATACCAAAATCCCATCATTGCTTTTAACTAAACAATCAGAATTACACTCTGATCACACAAAACTATCGATGCCTTAAAATCAAAACATGGATCTTCATATTTTGAATACAATACTTAACTAAACATTGATTATCATTAATTAGACATTGATTAAACAGTAATAATCAAATCTTTATTTTTAGGCTTGAAAATATCATTTTTACTTTCTTAAGCTGTGTGTCTCTTCTCTCTCTGCCTATCATACACACACCTGTGTATTTCCTCTTTTCAGGGATGTGTGCCTACTTCCCCTTTCTCTGTGATTCAGCATTTTCACTATGATTTAGATTCTTACACATTCAGTGATTATTTCAAACAAAACACACACCCAAATCATCTTATGATTGTCTTAACTTTTCTACTTTGTGCATTCTGCCATAGCATTTGAACAATTCTCTTGCTGTTTCTTGTAAACATTCTGTTCTTGTGTGAATTCTAACTGAAAAGAGACAATTTGTTAAATAGTATACTGCAGCCCTTCTTGTAAGGTTTCTGATACCAGATCCTCAGAGGCCAGTTCTGCTGTTATGGCCTGTGTTTTGTTAGAAAAAACCCAATTCTTTTGTTGGAAGCGCAGGAAGTGAAGACAGGAGAGGACTGTATAAAATCAACAGAAATGTTCCTCAAAGTCTGGGCACAGGTGAAACCATACATCACTGGGATCAGAGAGACAGAGCTCACGCAGGAAATCTGTTCTCTGAACCACGAGTTATGTTTTTCGTTACATTTATCTTCTCGAGGTGAGTTCGCCCTGTACAGAGGTACGTTTCACACTTCATAATCCTATTGGCCATTTGGCGTGAGCAGGTACCCCTGCCCGTGCCTGCTTGCTGAAATGTGATCTAAACCAGGTTTGTGTGTGTGTGTGTTGTGATTTTCAGGCGGCAGCTAATCAATAAATGCTGAACAATTGGTTGTCTGCACTGCAGATCTGTGTAAACTATTACAGGACAAAGCAGGACCTAGTGAGTATGCTAAATGGGCCAGGTGGTCATCTGAGGTTGTAGGCCCCCTGTCTCTGCAAGATACTACATGACAACGCAGAACTTGGAATATGCTAAGCGGGCCTAGGTGAAGATGCAAAACAGGCCAACAGGTCTTTGTTAAAATGTCAAATAGGCCATCTGGTTACTTGAAGGTACAGACATCATGTCTCTTCAAAGGTTGTAGCATACAGTTGCAAAGTTTCACTCAGTAGAATATGGCAGTCATCAATAAAGTTTTATTAATATAAGCAAGGAAAAATAAATTAATGAAAAGTAACTAAAAGAAAATAAAGTTATGAAAAGTAACTATAGGAAACTAAAGTTATGAAAAGTAACTAAATCTTATAAAGTAACTAGAGCCTATAAGATTCAAATCTTACTGTTTCTTGTGTTTTTTTGGTTCTCTCTGGGAAACGTTTTTACAGACCTACTTTACATAGGCTGTGTTGATATAATGTTTGTGCACAGCTGAAATCATGAAAACCTTGAACTGAACTGTAGTTTTGCATGAAATATTTTCAAATGACTGACTGTTTTTCCAGCTGTTACTATAGTATATTAGATAAAAAGCAAATGGATTTGATCTCACTCAGCAGATTTTTTACACAGAAGATACAGCTGTTATTCATCCACCCATTTTCTGTAAAGCTTATCCTGTAGAGCAGTGGTTCTCAAGCTTTTTTTGGCTGAATGGCCCTTGAAGTCAAGTTGAAACCTCTTGCGGTATTCTGAAAAAAACTTCCATCCATCCATTTTCTTCTGCTTATCCGGGACCGGGTCACAGGGGCAGCAGTCTAAGCAAAGATGCCCAGACTTCCCTCTCTCCAGACACTTCCTCCAGCTCCACTGGGGGAATGCCAAGGCGTTCCCAGGCCAGCCGAGAGACATAGTCCCTCCAGTGTGTCCTGGGTCTTCCCCGGGGCCTCCTCCCGGTGGGACATGCCCGGAACACCTCCCTAGAAAGGCGCCCAGGAGGCATCCAAAACAGATGCCCAAGCCACCTCAGCTGGCTCCTCTCGATGTGGAGGAGCAGCGGTTCTACTCTGAGCTCCTCCCGGGTGACCGAGCTCCTCACCCTATCTCTAAGGGTGCGCCCGGCCACCCTGCGGAGAAAGCTCATTTCGGCCACCTGTATCCGGGATCTTGCCCTTTCGGTCATGACCCAAAGTTCATGACCATAGGTGAGAGTCGGAACGTAGATTGACCAGTAAATCGAGAGCTTCGCCTTACAGCTCAGCTC